ATACAGTCAGGAAACTTTTCAGGTGTGTAGTTCAGATCGTATTGAAGGCCGAGATGGGTTGTCTCAGAATGTCAGCATGTTGACGGGTGTTGTGACTGGTGTGATCCCATATAGCTTTATTATAGCTCGTAGCTGCACACCCCACCAAGTGGTCCCTTTGTTTAAAGAGCTGCAGGAAGGCTTCAAAATGATGTCTGCATGAAGGAGGGAACTGTCAATCATCTATCCTGCATCCTACTTGAAATGATGTTCTGTCTCAAGCAAATACCTGAACCTTGGCCAAGCTGACTGGCTTTACAACAGCACTGAAAGGGCTAAAGCATGCCAAAACAACAGGTCATCCTTTGAGCATGCCACAGCAGTGGTAGAAACCACCTCAGAGCTCACTGTGTGAAATGTCACCTCATCAGTTTATTTGACAATGACATTATTTACCTGGAACCATAGTAAATACTCATTTTATCCACATCTCCTCTCTTGAATCAATTTTACGCTCTTTCCACACAAATTATTTTGTGCGGCTGAGGAGAAATATTTAGTTTTGAAGGGCCTCATATGCATGTGCTGTTTACTACCACTCAGTCTTTTGTCTTGAGAAATAACTCTAAAACAAAAGCAATAAACTGCAGCGCAGAATTGAGCCAGAAGGTAGATTGAAGCAATTTGAAATACTCAGTATTGCAATTTAACTGGAAGTAAGTAACATTTTGCTGTTGCACACAGATTCTGCCTCAGAGGGGGGGGGCAGACTGTAAAGATGCCTGAGTGACATCTGAGGATTACCCTGGCTATAAAGAGGGCAGAACCCAGGCTCCTGTACAAGGAGGGGGGCACTTTGAAGTGGCGATTAGGCTATGAGCTTTGCACCCAGAGCTTCTGAGGCACTGCCCTCTCCACCTCAGTCAGAGCGTAAGGATGCGGTGTGGCAGCTTTGCTGACTGGACACTGCTCCAGTTCCGCCTGTCCAATTAGCAATTTCTTCTACCCCTGAGGACTGGTCCCTTTCTGCTTGGCTTAGCTCACTGCATGTGGGCCAGATCACCTACATGTACTGTGCCACTCTACATAACCACAGTAATGCTTGTTGCACTCAGTGCTGCAATGCACTAGAACACTTCGATCCTCAAGACTCTGCCCTTTGATATATTCTGCAGGTTTCGTCTTTGCCTCACTTAAATGTCCATATTTAACCTCCTGCATGACTTGTTTTCTGTTGTCCTCCTCACTGAAAGATCATTGCAAACTCATTTACACCGTCATTGTCACTGCTCGCTCCTGTGCATGGAGCCAATTATTTTCTCTTATATATGAAAGAAATAGCCACAGAAATCTAAAACAAACAAGCAACTTTCAAGTTCAAGTGTGCTCTGACTTCTAAAGGCTTCTGATCAAAGGGTTCAATGGCTTGTTCAGTTCACTTGTCAGTTTTACTGAGTGGTGCAATTTTACAAGTGATTCATCACCCTCCATTTGGAAGGATTTTTCATTCCTTACCTAGTTAAAATATATTAAGGATTATATTATATTATTAAATGCTACATTAGCTGTTCTCGTGAAATTGTCCGCTTATTCCAGTTGTAGCACACAAACACCTTTTTATCTTTCACCTCACCAGTGCGTCACCTGCTAGAGTATTTCAAGCCACAAGTTTTGTTTTGTTCAAGGGGAAAGATAAATTGAATTTCCTGAGTGCTGTGATAGCTGTATGTAGTGCAGGCTTCTTATACGCTAATGATGCCTCTTTTTCTCCACAGCTATAGTGCTGAAGATTTGCATATCTCCTTAATACCTCAACACAGTGTTTTTTTCCTACCTCTTATTCCTCTGCACTACCTGCTCACGGTGCTTCTCTGTAGTTTCTAAAAAGGAAGTTATATTCCATGAAGTGGGAAGCAGAAACCAGCTGTCCATTACTGAGTGCAATAACGTGGCCTCTTTAGATGCTGCATTTTATTTGGAAGCTTTTTACTCCCACAGCTCTCATGACTGACACAGATCATAAACCGTACCACTCTCCACCCCACCCTCTGACCTTCAGAGAGAACACAGGGCTGTAGGACAGGGCCCTACATCAGCAGCTGCTGCCTTTCACAGATCTACCTGACTCTCCAAGCCCTTCAAAAACCTGAACATCCATCACTGAGGCACTTAGTGCACAATCTAGCTGGAGACTAGCTCTCCTTATTTAAGATCCATTGCTGATGCTGTAGTATCTAATGGACTCAACTTCATGGACCTCTCTATGAATATACAGTAGCAGAGTATATAGCCTGTGTCTATTTCTGAACATCTGTGAATGGAGATATTCATCATTCAGGAGCTGCATGTGTTTCACTGACCCTCTCTTACTCAGGAGGGTTTGGACGTGTGTCTTTACCATTAGCATCTTTTTTGACTGCAGATAAATAATGTGGGCACATGTGTAACAACTTGTAACGAACATTGCGCTGATTATATCTATACTTTCACAATCAGAACAAGATCAGTCAAGTAGGCTTGATTCTTTTCCAGTCTGGGGCAGCTGCTGTTGTCAGGAGATAAACTCACATAGTGTGGGATGTTTTAGATGTTTAGGATTTTTATCTTTGGGTGGTAGGTGCATGGGCAGATTTCCAACCACCAGAGTTCAACTCCTGCTGGCAGTACCTACCACAAGTGGCTCCTACTGTTTGGTTGAAGCACTGTGCCACCTGCAAGGGATGGTGTAGGATCCAAACTTTGTGAAGAGTGTTAATCCTTAGTTGGCCCGTGTTTCTGATCTCATGCTCACACCTCACACTGCTCTTGTAGAAAGCAAAGAAAGGTGTAATAATACACTGCAGCTTGTACAGAGTCAACTCGATGAAAAAGATCATTCTAATAGAAAATCCTTCCACAGTTGGAAAAGTATGTAAGCAAGTAACTACCTTAAAGTGACCATTAAAGGCCAAATGTGGAGTTTTTGGCCACTGCTAGTGCTACAGAACAATGTTTTTATGACTGGGTCCTTGTTACGTTTACATGTGGGTGATGAGGTACACATTCCTACCAATAGATTCATGCTATTTCATTCATCTACAGGTGGCAGTATGCACCAAAAAAACACAGATATAGACTAAAAAAGACAGGGAAGAGGAAGACAGTTACCAATTAAACATGTCTGTAAATGATAAAGGTTTTAAATTTAAATAAAAAATCTGTTTAGTTTTATGAAGAAGGAAATGCAAGTTTGTTACACCTCAAGGATACACACAATGGATTTGATTAGAAACGCTGAATGCTTGTAGAAATTTTGTTCGTAAGAAAACTCCATATAGCCCCTTTAATATTGTAAAAAATGCCAGGAACATGATTATATTTCTGGGTGCGCTACCAGTAACACATATAGATAAAACAGAATTGTCACTCACTCTGAGTAGAGGGGAATTAAAAAGATTTTTATCTCTTGCTTCATGATCTAGTCCATTTCATTTGTTCCCATATGATTCATTTTTATGACTGAAACATAGAAAATTGCGAGTTGGAGAAAAATTAACAAGACAATTTACTGTATCTCGGTTTTACTGAAGACTCGCTGCATGCTGCAAAGTTCATTCACCTCCATCTCTTCCTGTGGAGTATACAGTCTGTGTTGCCCACGTTTCTCCATCCAAGATTTTTCCTTTGTTTCTTTGTCATTTCTATAACAGATTTCAGTACAAATGCACAAAGCTAAATGGTTCTTTTTTGGTCTGATTGTCTGTCACTAAGAGTCTAGTCATCATCTATCTGTCATTAAGTTTGCTGTCCATTGTCTTAGCTGTTGCGTTTGTGCTCACTATTTTTTGACTGTATGTGGCCTCAGGTGTCACTTGAAAACAGCAGCTGAGGCTGAGGGAAGACTGTGGAATACTATGCTGGTCCCATTCTGATTTTTCCATATGAAACAAGTATACCTGCCACTCTTCCTCCTTTTTGAGCTCGTCTGTTCCCAGAGGACATGGTGAGGTGGAGAATAAAGCACAGATATGATGGAGGAGTGAGATGAAAAGGCCAGTTGTGACAAGCAAAGGGAGAGAAGCAGACAGCAATTGGGGAGAAGACAAACCCAGTTGCTGAAAGGAAAGCATGGGTGTTTGTCAGTGTTTGTCACTCAGCGGTGCGAAAACGCATTCTGACACCCATTTATCACTGTATATTTAGGAATCAGAATTGTTAGAAGGAAATCACAAATTTGAATACATTAGCATCTTCCCCGCTGTGCAAATATCAAAGCTCAATGAGGCTTTATATCCCTGTCCTCCAAAGAGAAGGCCACTCACTTGTTTAAATGTGGAGAACTAACTAAACGCAGAGTGCTCGCGAGGGTAGATCCACTTATTGCCACTATCATAACCAGCATGTAAACACACTCAGGCGCACAGGTGCATGTGTGAATCCTCTCTCTCTCTCTCACACACACACGCACACACGCACACACACTGAGACACAAGCGAGCAGCAATAGATGATGTTTTTTTATGACTCTCTTCCAGAGCCACATCTCTCACTGGGCATCTACTGATACCCATTAATCATGAGCTCTCTTGTATTGTCAGCCCAGCCTCCCCAGCCTCCACTCTGCAACCCCCCCACCCCCTTCACTTTCAGCCTGTCACTTAACAAGCTGTGACACTATGACAGTGATGTGTGTGCGAGTGAGTGATGCCTGGCTGCAGCCCTTATTTGTAAGGTATTGAAATGCTCCGGCACGAAGCGGGTAGTGCTGAGATTGTGGCTCCTTATGACAGAATGTAAAAATGGCAGCTTTGCCTTGGCTATTAAATTAAAGAGGGAGGGAGATGGCCCAGCTTTGTTTTAGGGTTGCTCCATTTGAAAACCTGATTTACCGTGGTATACAATCAGCTCTGTAGCGAAAAAAAAATCCTGTGTTTTTATTGTACACACAATGAAGAAAATATATCCCTGTATGCACAAAAGCATCACTCATCTTCTCTCTCTCTCTCTCTGCCTCCCTGTTTCTTTGTGTGTTTATGTGCACAGGCTCAGTGTCCCTCAGTGTGTTCCTGGTCTCCCTCGCAGTGACAGTGTGTGCTGTTTGGCTGGTGGCTCTTTGTGGCGTCTGTGGTTGGTGTCAACGCAAGCTGGTGAGTTTACACACACACACACACGCACACGCACACGCCCACACACACACACACACACACACACACACACACACACACACACACACACACACACATGAACACTCAAGCTTCACTAACAGATATATGTAGTTCCCACTCACATGTGTTGCTTTAATAATCAGAGAGCCTTAATAAACATTGTCTGCTGTGAGTTTACTAGAAGAGGACACTTTGCTGCTCTGGAGCTAGCACAATGTGTGCATATATTAAGAAAATCTGTGCAAATATTATGTGCAGTCTCATTGAAGCAAGAATTTTCTGTCACAAGACACTTATTAATGAAGACATATTAAGAGCTGTGGAAGAAGAATTCAGATCTTTCACATCATTAAAAGTATCGATATGACATCTAAACATACTCCTTCATTCAAAATCCTATTGTACAAACATGGAAGTAACGTGTAAAGGGCAAAATGTACTTCAAGTTTCAAAAGCAAGAGAGTATCACAAGATAAATCTAAGGGGTTGTAAGATGATTAATGGAGTGGGAACCAAGAAAAACTCTGCAAATTTGTTTTCATTCTTGGACTTAACTGAATCTTCTGTGTCTTGTGAAATATTGCACTGTTCGACCTCTTTCAGTTACAAACAATTATTTAAATGAAACACTCAGAAATGCAGCTGAGTAAAGTTTCATAAAATGGAAATGCACACGTAAAGCAGAAGTACTTCAAGACTGTACTTGAGTGAATATACTTGTTTACTTTCCACCACTGCATATAACTGTAGAGAGTTGGCCACGGTTAAATCGGTGTCACATGACCACAACAGCTTCAGCAGTCCAGACTCAAACTAATTAATCTCCCAGACATTAGCAGCTACAACATTAGTAAAACTGTGCTGATACAGCATCAGTACCAGGCCACGCATCGAGGAGAAACAGAACGCAGATCAAGCAGACTGACCTCTGATAGAGGGCATGTCATTGTGATTATGTGGTATGAAATGTGATTGATTAAAGGAAGGCAACTAGTCATTAGGCAGACAGAGCTGTTCGGCTAAGTGCCTCTTCACTTGACTGATTTTTTTTAGATTTGCATGCCTTTAAAGTTAATTGATTTCTGATTCATCCTGTGCTTGTACAACCCAGAAACACCGGTCACCTATTTCAACTTTAATGTTGGCTCCAACTCTTACTTGTTTCAGCTCACGATCGCACTGCTGTGAAACTTATTGGACCACAGATGGCAGGATTAGGCGTTGCAGCAGGCTCTGCACACCACACGCCTCGCTACATAGTGTAATTGGCATTGCTATTGAATCACCAGCGAGGTGACTGTACCTAGATTACTCGTTGATGCCATTATGATGTATATGAACCGAGAGGGAGAAATGATCTGTGCTGAAATGAACGTGCTACAACACAGTCTTTCTATTGTTTGCTTCAGTGGAACATCGTGTTATATTTGATATTCCACTTTGAAGTAAATGGAGCAGTGAATGACTTCTAGTTTCCTGCTGTGGATGGAGGTAGTTCTGCTGCAGCACCTTCGAAAGTCCCCCAGGTCCTCTTCGGAGCACTGCTGTAAATGGATCTTATTTCCATCCTGTGACTGTGCCTTGCAGCAGCCACAGAGCAGCAGCGGGCTGGGATAGGGGGACGAACTATTGGCCTTATGACCCTTTGAAGGCCACTATCAACTACGTCCTCGTGCACAAGATGATGTGCTTCTATCTAAGTGGAGACACTGTTTGTGCATGCTTTACAGGGCATCTTACCCTGAGCCCTTATCTGGGGTGTATGTGCATGTGTGTTTGTGTTTGGTGGTGGTGGTGGGGAGGCACCTTAGAGTGGCACTAAGATGTTAATTAAGGCCTTTGTAGTCTTGGACCACTTACTTTGGAGAAAATGTCATCTGCCCACCGCTGTGAAACTACATCAAACAAGATGCTTAATGTACAAAATAATAAAGTGCGACTGAGATAAATGCCAGTCATTTCTATGATGATAAATGTGTTATTGATGACACACTGTGCTATGACAAAGCACAAATGCTACTAATCTTGTTAAAATATAATTTTCTCACATTAATATCCTCATCCTTGAGGTGTGTTATTTTCTATATGTGACTAACAGCCATGAAGGCTCAGCAGCTATACAATCTGTCATATTACAGACACTCCCTCACTTCCCTTGATCCTTTTATCTCTTTTACTTTCCATGGTAGCACTATATTCCCTGAGCGCATGATTAGTATGTATGTACAGAATAATTTGCATAAACACAGTTACTTTGAACAGAGCCACTTCATTATAGATGCATACTGTATCTAGTGCACTATACATTCATGCAGGCTGATTTTCCATGCACAAAGATTCCTCATTAGTTAAAAAGTGCTCAGTACTTATTGGGCGTTTAACATGAAGCTACGACAGGCCCATCCACATGTGAAACTTTCATTTTTGATATTTCTGAGTGTGCTCTTTGACAGTGTCAGCTTTCATAAGAGCAAATTTTTGCCAGAAGCTTCACGTGTCAGTTGCGAGTGGGCCCATGCCAGTTTTGGTTATGATTCATAGGTTAATAGACAAGACATTTTGGGTGAGTGTTGCTTTCGGTGTTTTAGCTTTGGCAACCAGTGCAATGGGCTTTATTTTAAAAGTCCTCATGTGCAGTCATCCCGAAGCCTTCCTCCTGCTTGGCTTTCTGTTATCTAAGCCCCCTGGAAGTACTGTGCATTGAATGTTATCGTCTCCTTCTGTTGGCCTGAGAGTCTGTTTTTAGAATATGTGCTAATCCAATGTCATTTTTATAAGTGACTTCGCATGTTTTTTTTTTGTTTTTTTTTACTCAGGTTTTACAGCAATTATTCTTGTGTATTGTGTGGTTTATTGTTTTCCTGTCTGTCTTTAAAGGTGGTAAGGAGAACAACAAAGCAAAAACACAAATCATAATACGGCGAGTCACATGGTTATTAAGCTCCTGTGTTGTGGGGCTGATGATTGTCAGCAGGGGCTTGTGTTGTAGGTGTTGGGTGGGATTTTCGGATATCAGAGGTGGTGCAGCCAACATCTGTTTGAGCAGCAGTGGCTGTTTGGCATTCAGAAACCCTCCGCCTGCTCCTGTGAGCCCCTGTGCTGTTTGATCCGTGACATAGTTGTGTTGGAGTTGAGATTGGACCTGACCAGATTCACAGCCTGATTCAATCCCTGTTGGGCTTGTATCAACAACCTTCAGTATTTTGGTTGCACTAACTGAGAGTTAGGAGTTCACAGTTGTTAGGAAGATGATAGTAATTATGCCAATCAGAGGAGAGAGAAGATGTGTAAATGAATAATTATAGAATTTCAAAGGAGAATTGTCACAGTCCTTGGCAACATTATAATAACAGCACATTATGAGGATTTGAAGTCTTGACCTGTCACATCTAAGTGTCGGATGGTGTTGGCAGTGTTCCTGGTCATATGTAAATTTTTATGCGTTTCGGATTACACGCTTCTTGATGTCGGCGTTTACTACAGAAGAACACAGGTACAAAAAAGATGCTTCTACAGATGCTAAAAACGAACGATCATTTGGTGATTTAGCAGCGGACGACCATTTTAATAGTGCACTCCTCTCTAATTATGGTGTGATGTGGATAATATTGAGCGAGCATGTAGACTCTTGCTGCCTGCTAATTCACAGCAAACAAACACAGCTGGGTGTTGGAAGGCAGTGCACTGCCAACTGAGAGAGTGGTAGTTTCACTCTGTCCCCTCTCATGTCTGGATTCTTCAAGAAAACCCTCAGCGTCACCCTGGGCAGTCCAACACCAAAGTCTCTTCTCACTCATCTGCAGTGGTGTGGAGCCTCAGTGGGCCTCCTTCCCACTTTAATACATCAATTGTCACACCTGTGCACACTAAGTAAAATCAGCTGTTAAGTCACCAAGTAAATATGAATCTGTAGTGGCTATTATGGTATTCTATAAATGCATGTTTATAACACATTTAAGATAGTTTGCACATTCTGAAGTCTCAGCATATTTTAATGTAACTTCTGTGTAAAGCTCTCACTATGAGGTTTTCTAACATTGCTGAAAATGTTTGCTTCATTATACCCTGGGCATAAGACAAACATCTTACTACTCCAAATTAAAGGACGACATAAAGTGTTTTTCCACGTCCTCTGGAACGACATATAGAAGCGTTTTGTGGTCTGATGCCCCTGTTGCCAGGACAACATCATTTGTCTGTGCCTTTCAAAACTCTTACAGATCACTCTTTTATGATGTGTCGACTCTCTGGTTAAGGTTTGGGCACAAAAATGACTTGGTCATGGTAAATATGTAATTAGTTTAGACGAGGGAGAGGAGGTTGCGAATTAAAGTGACTACTTTGCTAAGGTTTGGGGAGCATCATTGTAACATGGTAACAATAATAACCAAGTGGTCAAGGTTAGGGAACAACTATGGTCGTGCAAATTGAAACAGCACAGTGATAGCACATCAGCTAGTGACTGTAATGAAGCCAGTGGTACAGCCTGTAATCTATTTTATGTTTTTGAACTGCTGCATAATTTGGTTCATGCAGGTTAAATATAATCTATTCATCTACCTTTACAACACCTCTTTTTTCCCTTTCTGCATATAAAAAATGTAGATAATATAGATAGAGCTGAATTACATTTGTAAACGGATCTATTTTGAGTTGTCCTGCTTTGTGACATTTTGTGCCCCATTTGTGATTCAATACTAGTATACATCAATGTGGCAATGATTGGGGGCTGGGGATAGATGAGTAGGAAGAGGCAGTACTGAAAAAGAATATGTCGGAGCAGCTCATTTAAAAAAAAAAAAAAAACTGTTTTTTTTGGGACTGTGAACTTTGTTGGAAATTCAAGAAAGGGAACTTTGAGCTAGATCTTGTGAAGAGTGAACATGCACAACACTGTGCTTGATGTTGTAGGGATTATGGTATTTCATAACAAAAGTGGATTTGGTTTCCAACAAGTGCTAGCTCAGGCGGTTGCACCATAG